GCGCTATTACTATCGTTACCAATTTGGGTATAGTGAAGTAAAGATTAATTTATTGAATTACATCGCATCATATTTCACATGCCTCAGTTCTCTTCATATAAGTTCTTTTAGATAGCTATTTCTTTATCCGCTTCACTTTTATATAAGCAGTAAACATTTGTATTTAGATGACAACATCGACTGAAATGGAAGAACTATTCTACAGCAGTATCACAGATTACGCCAGCGAAAGCTAAATCAGACATCTGCATAGCTATCTCATTTAACGATTTTCTACTTATTTCTTTTAACTATTATTGTCATTCAACCAGTAAAGCATAATAGCAATAAGTCTCATAAATGTAAAAAAAAAAAAAGAGAAAACCGTAGTATTTGCCTACCTAAACACAAAGATTTGCAAGTAAATTAATTATCCGAAGTGAAGTTTTTGAGATACAATACACGCAAATGAGCATGTCTTTTGTGCACATAATGCAGTAGTAGTACCACATTGTAAAATAAGAAGATATACGGAGAAATTTAAAATTCTTCTTTCTGGTGCAATGCTAAAAAACTTCATTGAATTGATAACAGGTGTCAGTCATAGATGTAAATGAAACTATGCTATTTCAAGAGATGCTATGTTTTACATACCTCGTTATCGCTGTTTTCGTGGATGTATAAAATTATACATATAGTTTCATTTTGATTAAAATAATGATCAATGCAAAAACAACAAAATGCTAGTCCTCGATAGTATTTCTTTGTTCTTTTTTTTTTTTGTAAATCAATGGATTTAATTAAATTTTAGGCTTTGAGAGATTGAAACTTGATCAACTAGAAGGATTCAAATAGAAATGAAAATCAAAGCAAAATAAAACAGGTAATTAATGTTTATTTGACCGTAGTTCCAAAAGCAACTATGACTTCATTTACAGTCTCATATATCTGCTTTGTTAAACTAATGAGTTGACAAAATTTGGTTTGATCATATAGGCTGATGCAAATTTCCTTAATTTAGTAAAAAATCTTACTTTGATCAACATAATAATAATAATAATAATAATCAATGAAAATAAATATAAAAAGATTTAATATATAAATCTTAGGACTTTATTTATTATCAAATTTCCGTTACCATAAGATTACCGAATTTGATAGCAGTTATAAAGATCATAACTTTTTTGAAGCTCTGATCAATCCTAAAACTTTGTTTTGGTTATCAACGAAATTCACAAAAAACGAGAAATGGTAAAACAATTTGAAGAAGTGAGACGATATTAAAACAGTTATAATTTGAACATGTCTAGTTTATCCAGAATTCGCTTATAGTGAATGGGAGATTCTTCACACTGTTCTGTTGCACAGCTTCAACCTCATCACGTGCCAGTATTCTTCAATAACTCTGTGTAACTCTCGTAGATGCATGTACATGTGGCATAAGTCATCCTTAAGTGTAAAATGACATGTAAAAATGCGTTACTGTTGCTGTCAAGTCAGTAAATTTGCTCAACTGATTGGATTAAAATAAGTGATTTGAAATTGTGGTACCACTCGTTGAGTTTTCAAACTAAACAATTTTTCAGTTAGCTAATGGTACTATCAGAAGATATCACATACATTTGGCTGAATTTTGAACTTTTAAGAAAGTAATAGCACGTTCGAAAAAATATGGGAATTTTTAATGAAATGCAGCTACGGCATTTAAAAAGTGGTTGTTTTTGTAATTTCTTTCTATCCAATAGAATCTTTGACGAAAAAACGATAACAGTAAAGAGGCAAAGAAACCAAATGAAAAAATGCATAATAATTGAAACTGAATAGCTATTTGACCGACAACCTCATAATTTGAGAGTATATCTGACATAAAATAGAATCTGAAATATAACCTTTGACAAAGTTTAGAAAAACAAGGTAGTAGTGAATGATAATAATTTTATAACCTTTTAATTTCAACAAATCTAAATCGAGTTAATCGAGCCGAGGATGGAATTTAATACGTTAGCATAAAAACTGAAAATTTGAAAATTCTTTCAACCTTTTAATCAATCTAAAATACAATATAATTCAATTTTTGGTGAAGTTGAGAACAAATTTGCTGATATATGAAGAGCAAATAAAAAGAGTAGCGTAATGTGCAGGACGCCTAAGAACTTAACCAAAAATATAGACAATGAATGCTTCAGGAGCGGCCAGCAATTTATTGGAATTCGATGTTTTCATAAATGATGCTATCCCTAATATTAATAATGTAATGCTCAATTTGCACTATTTTTTATTATGAAGCACATATATATTTTTAAAAAAAAGTGAAGTAGTAGCCAATCAGTGAAAATGATATTATTATTTTGTAGAGAACAGTGGATTTGTTCTCATATAACATTTTAATATAATCATTGCAAATCATTCAAGAGACAATAAACGAACTTGCTTTTCTTTGAAATGAAGCAATCTTTTTTTATGTAATAAATTTTCATGAAAAGGTGTTTTGTTTAAGTTACTGGAAAACTTACAACAAAACAAAATTTCGATCTGCGATTTCAGCATGTGGAACAGATTGTATGATACAAAGTTTCTAAAAGTGCAGACATTGAAGGGATTTAAACAGAGCTTGTCTTAGTATTTTCCAATTTAACTGTCCAATGAGTATTGTTTTAATTTATTATTCGCCTTATTAGTTATCATAAGACTAAACAATTTATGTTTTCGTCATCATCATATATTTCTAAAAGAACTAATTTACAGGATCAAAATCGAGTTTAATGTTATGGCAGATATATATAGTTTTTTTTTTGCCAATCAGTGCAAATACAGCTTTTTTTTTCAGATTTCTCATCTTTGCGTATAGTCCAATGAATTCGGGAAATAACAATATATATCATTTGACCTCATGTTAAACGTTGTTTACAACAAAATTTTTTCAGAGACCTTTACTGTCTACAAAACAACTATTTACACGATCAAAAAAATATTTGTCAAATCTTGATAACAATAAATACTGAAAAAAAGAAAAAGAAATATAGATGATCCTAAATTCCTATTCACGAGCTTAATTCATAATATTTGAGAAATTGACATCGAGTAGTTCCACTATGTTCACTAAAATGACAAGATTCTTCTCTTTATGATTACTCAACCAGTTTTGTCATTCTTTTTTGTATTTCTTATTATTTCTTGTCAGTTTCTCTTCTTTATGATTCTTCTTATTTTACTTTCTTTTGTTGCTTCATTTTATTTTTCATTTGAAACAGCTATCTTTCATTCATTTCAGTTTCTAGCAAAATTCTACCGGCTCATATGCTCACTGTACTTTCAATCTTTTTCAGAATATTCCTAATTAGGAGTAGTATTTGAGGGTGAATATATTTGAAGATTGTTTGTAAATTTGTTTATACATTTTTTAGTATGTTTTAATATGTTAATAAGAAATGTTTCGCTTTTAAGTAAGTTACAAAGATGACTGTTTTGTACATTGCGATAAAGTTATCTAATTGACATGTTATTAAATGAAGTCTATCAAAATCAATAAACAGTGTACCTCGAATTTCATGAAATTTTATGTAATTGGACAGGAAAAATGGTTGAACAATCACAAGATGTACAATATTCTGCAATTAAATAATCCTTTTATTTTTTTTTTTTTAGTAATTATTAAGAGTAAAAAATTGTGCCAGTATGACTTAATATTAAATTTCAAAATTTTCAAAACATTTTTGGAAATGTTCTTATAAACTTATTGGAGTTCATCAATAATGAACAACTGTTTGTAAAACCCTTTTCTATTTCATATTAGTGGCATGTTTCAGCAATTATTTTATCAATCCGTAATTTTATTTCTGATATTTCCTTATTTATTCTTTTATTCCTGATATTAGTAAAGAAAAATCTGTTCAACGAAAAAAAAAAAATCAAGAGTTTTACGTAATTGACTAATAGTTATTATTTTATCAAATGATTATTTGTTAAATATCTTTCTGCTTATTGATTAACTATCCATATCACATATTCCACTGAAATGTTCTTATTTTCAATTAAATATATCTCAGATTATTGCTGTTAGTGAATTTATAACATAAAACTTTATTAGAAACTAAAAATGAAGACAAGAACTTTGTCATCAAGAATTTTATCTACTAGAGCTGGTCAATGAACGATTTCGAATGAGAGTTGTGATAGCAGCAGCAGCAGCAGCGATTATGCTTGGGCTTCTTGTAAAATCATTGCTTTGCTATAATTCCTTTCATTTGACAGTTTTTGAATGTGACTATTTATCACTATAAAGTTAATAAAGAATTTTGATCTGAATTTCCAAATTCTAATTTGCAAAAAAAAAACTCATTTTTAGAAATTTTCTATTTTTAATAAAATCGACTATAGTGAATAAATCCTGGACCTGTACAATACTTCTTGGTTTAATTTCAAATTGTAAAACTTAAATTATATTGTATCAAGAATTATTGCGAGGATTTAAGAAGCAAGCCTAAAATTGTATGCCTCTGATCATTGGAATGTGAATTCGTTCGTATTTTGCAATGAAGTACTTGTATAAATATATATTCTAATTTCTACTCTTTCAGTAAAAGTTTTTCCTATTAATAATGGAAAAAGAAATTTTCATTCTTGAAGAGTCAGGTGATTAATATATGAAGTGAGCACAGAGCTTTTGATGCATTTCGCAACCAGTCATTTAGCTAATGATATAAGAAGAAAACGAAGAATATCTTGGACTTCTGAATCCATTAGCAAACTAACAGATTAATTGTTGCAAACGGACTAAACTCGATAAAATTCGGAATTCATTTCGAACTAGAATTTTTGCTGTACTCCTTGCTTTTATAATTTTCTCACACATTTTTTAAGGTCAGTTTTATGGTGACTTATTCCTTATTGTTTAACAAAATTGCAAATTAAGTTATAGTTTGAATTTCTTTTATCAATGCCTATTTGAATAGCAATCAGGAAGCACTGCTGTGGAAAATGTATCCTCCGGTGTATTTTTCGGAGTTGGTGCAAGCTGCCGGATGATCGTGGCACACACACACTGTTTTCATTGTGGTAAGTATTTCTCTAAACTTTTTGTCACTTTAGTTCTTCAAACTTACTGAAAATTTCAGTTTTTGTTTTTGTTTTTTTTTTTTTTTGTAGCAAATGCAGAATGTGGAAAGTTCATGGATAACCGATCTTATAACGATCACAAGGAGCAAGTTAACTAACAACTTTCATTTCTTCTATAAACGAGGTATACTTTTGACTGTTAGATAACAGCAAGTAGCGATTAATTTATAACTGTATTGTAATCACTACTACAAATATTTATTCAGGGCTAAAGGTGTCGGAGTAAATGCAAAGATTCAAATTCAAATGAACGAAGTGAATTAGACAGTGGTAATTTTAAGTTGTATTACTTCTTGTCTTGGACATTCGAATTCCATAAGTTTGAACGAAAAGAAATGGATTCTTGCGTTAAAATACTAAAATAAATTTATGAACAATTTGCTGAAATAAATATTGTCTGTAGAGGCCATAGTAACAGCTACAATTTCTTACACTGATGGAATGAGAAACCAAAAATTGGGATACATCAAACTCATCGACGAATTATTTTGCGATAAAAGTTAAATATGCTCCATAAGTGAACTAATAATTATATCTTCAGTAAATAATATATTTAATGATTTTATGAACTGTTTTCTCATTTCGAAATCTTCGCACGATCAATACTCTCAATTGAATTATTTATAGTTTATTTCAAAAACAAAAATACACCTTCACTTAAATAACTCTTACATTAATTACCACTATTCTGCATTCTGCATTCCAGGTTCTGCTAATGGAAAAAAACATTCAGTAAGGAAAACTGTAAGTCATTACTACTATTATTACATTTACCATCATCGAATTCAAGACAAAATTAATTTTATTAATTTGTTTAAATTTCAATACCCATTCTTGTCATATCACTTCATATGTGTAAGCGAAACAATATTTTTTACTACAAATTACTAGTTCATTCTTACATGAGTAAATTACAGAATCGGCCATACTCAATTCTTAGCTTATACACTACAAATAGAAAAGACGGAAATGCTATTACAAGTGCAACAGTCACATGTCGGAAATGCTCAAAAGAAGTGTATGATGTAGAAAAAATATTAGCAGGTGGTATGGTATATCTGGTAGCAGTTTCGACACTAACCGATGTTTAGTAACTTCTAATTGTTAACAATTGAAAAATACAATCAACAACATTTACTATATTTTTTTAAATTTGTTAGCCAATTTTGCCAATAGGATAATTTCCTAGATCAATGTACCAATATCAGTGGATTGTCGAGAAAATTGTTCATCAACTCTTTCAAGCCTGGCATTATAACAAATACTTTGTTTGCGAAGTTTGCAGAAAATTACAAGAACAGTATGCGTTCCATGTGGCATCTTATATTGCAATTGTATGTTTCCTACAAATAAATTAGTTTCATTTTGTATTTCTCCTCCATTTTTACTAAAGAGAATACTGACTAATTAAGAATCACGTCGGAATTGCAGCTTGCGAAAAAATTTTGAGCTTCTGTGCAAATTCGTAGCGAAGGGCTTCAATGATAACTGAAAGAATCTATTCAACGATAAATTGATATTGCCGCTGTGTTAAATCAATATTATTTATTTCTGCGTTTGATACAGTGTAATGCTAGTGGCCTTATATTTCTCTTTTACCTTGGAGAAATAAAGAAGTGAGTGTTTCTAGAACCCATAGGGCATAGATCGCTTTACACTTTTGTTTGAATTCCTTTAAAAGCTATTATTTACATATAGCTTTAAGACAAAGCACACAATATGGATAACTCTGAAACTCCACCTCGTAATATTATTTGCTCAGTGAATTTTAACTTGAACTTTCATTGCAGAACTATACAAACTAAAAAAATTCGGAAATGTGATGGTTGACACCAGAATGTTTAGCAGCGACAATTTCAATAGCAGACAGACTTGTACGGATCATTTAATGAATTATCCGATCTAATGCAAACTCAAAGAAGCATACACATAGGAAGCAAAAGAAAATCAACCTTAAAACTCAACATTTTTATTCTCTCATCACGCACATATGAGCAAATGCAGCGGACGTATTGAATACTATTTAAAATATGCCATCATCAGAACTGTTTTACTCAAGACCAGAATACTGTGAGGAAAGAAACTGATTGAATAATAGAATTTTGGGAAGCGGGCGATAAAGATAAAACGTATTTCAAACATTTCTAAAAAGGCACTTCATTTAACAATAACTACTAAATCCTGGTGGTAGTTTGATTCTTGTAAATTAGAAAAATAAACAATCGGAAGATGAAAAAGCATAATTCAGAATTGAAAACCGGTGAGAAAGCGTAACTGCTCAAACATCCTTTGTATTAAGCATTCTCGGAACTGAGACTGCTTACGAATGATTTCGAGATGGGATCCACTTCACTAAATCGAAACATTTGACTACAAAAAATGTTTGACAGAATACGACATTAAATTTGAATATGTAAAAGCAAACATTACAATATTAATAATAGCAATTAATATTTGGTAGTAGAAAAGGACAATGCATGTGGGCAAGGATTAGTTGCTCGATATCCAAAGAAATGATATATCCATCGAGCGTGGAAAAAGAGTTAGCAACAAATACTGGCACCATTACATTACCTTTATTTTATAAACAGAAACATCTCCTTACGAAATATAACGCAAATTTAACACAGAAAGATCCATTCAAGAAACTTCCGATACTTTGGCAGATTTTTTGCTGTTCATAGGATCCAACATGTTGTGGACCATCCAGAACTTGTCCATTTCACGCCTCGCTGGCATCATCTGCTCCTTCGTCTAATGGTCCTATAAATGGAAGCTTATACTAAATAGCCATATTTCAATTAGTTAACATCAGGAAAAAGAGAAAAGAAATCCTTCTCGTCTTTTTAATTAGTTTCCTAACAATCTGAAAGGTTGGTACTGTGAAATTGAAACAACTCGAAAATTCAATAGAAAATTGGTAACAAACCGCCAGAATGAGCAATCAGTTAGAAATATTTTTAGAAAGCATCCAAGGCACTGAATCTCATTTTTTTTTACAACCTGATATTTCGAAAAATCCAGTGTTAGCAATTAATCAATTTCTAGATGAGCAAGTATTTCTACCATCAACCTTACAGTTTTCAAACTGTTGAACTCTGAATAGGAAAAAAACACACAAGGCAAACTTGTTGATTGTTATAATGCGTGAAGAAGTTAGCAGGCAAACAGGATTTGATATGATATACTGCATTTGAGACACGATAAAACACATGGTTACATATTAGAATTCAATGCATATCAATCTGTCATGCTTTCATCGTTATCACCTGAATAAACTATACCAGCAGTTAGTGAAATTTTTTATCTAAAATTCAGCAGAGAAGCTGCGTATAAAGACTTGAGGTCTTAGCAAACTCAGTTATAATCCTAAAATTTGTTACTATGTCATTTGCATTAGCTGAACTAAGAATTTTATCCGAAATCAATGTAAAGGGCTGTAATCCATCCTCTCGTCATAATAAACGGTAATAATGAGCTAACTTATCATAATTCTTTATACAGCCCAGACTTTCAAACATTTCATATTCAAAAAAAGATAATTATAACTTCTTTTGCTTGTGATGATGCAGTGAATCATTATGGATCCAAAACAATATCAGAGGACTTTTAAGAAAAGCGTTAAAATATATGAATATGGGGTTCAAAAAAGGACTAGAAATTGTAATAACATTCCAGTCATAATCCAAAAATTCCGTTAGAATAACAGCAGTTCACAAAGAAACAAGAATGCTAATCATGCCAAATTCGATGAAAATCTAAAGTTCGTCTCTATAAGTTAAAAAACATGCAATACAGGTCAAATAGTATCAGATATTTCATACAAAGAACAAACCTTCGATGTTCAATGTCAATTCAACGTTTGCTTCACCAGCTTCATTCTTAATATTGCACGTATATGTACCACTATCCTTTGCCTTATAATTCTGAAAATGCTTTAAAATCTGAACCTCGAACGTTGAAGGAAAATCTGAATCTCAGACGTTAAGAGAAGTTCATCTAACACATATTTTTAGTTAGAAAAAAGATTTTAATTAAATTGAGATACCAAAATTCTTTTATGAATTATAATATATGAAATAATAGGCAACGACCATACTTTCAGTTCTAACTGAGCAGTGAACGTGTTTGCACCACCGTCAGGTGTTAATCCAAATTTTATACGACTTGATTCCTTCATTTTTTTGCCCTTTGGATTTAACCAGATGACCTGCATTAAAACAATTTTAGATACACAAATAGTGAATCGTTTTAATTTAACTCTTTCAGCTTATAATGTTAAACACAACATTACCTCTGGGTTTTGATCAGCTTGAAATCCAATATCAAAAACAATAGCTGGATCACCAGAATCTGAAGTTTTTTGCAAAATCTGTGGTTTACGAGTAAAGGTCGGAGCTCCTTGTGGCACTGAAATTGTTTTTAGACAGGAAGAGATATGACAATCAAAATATCTGAGCAATATATCAATTCCAAGTTCACACATTGGAAAGAAAATACTTAAATTCAAAAAAAACCTTCAAATTTAACAGTAAAAGTGGCTGTTAGTTTCCCAGATTCGTTCTTTGCTGTGCAAACAAATTGGCCCGCATCCTTTTCCTTTGTCGGCTCCTGAAATACTCCAATAAAATAATTTTTCAGTAATGTGATACCAGATTTTTTAAAACAGTAAATTTAGTGAAAGTAAAATCGATACTTTGATTTCCAGAGCAGCGTAATATGTTTGATTTGCTTCTTCTCGTAGAACAATTTTCACTCGATCCGATTCAGCTACGATTTCTTCACCCTGAAAGAAAAAGCATAAAATTCAATATAAATACCAGCTAGGATTCTAAATTAAAAAACAATTATAAAACTTAAGAGCAAACAAAATTTATCCGTTTTATCGATTTTTTTCAAAAAATATTATTTTCCTTCTAAAAATAACGAGTGCCAATCAGGGGACCTTCTGCCAGACGAAAGTAGGTTTAAGAATCGATTTCGCCCTGAATTCCATAACCATTACTTGCCCATCGTCACGAGATGATATTTGTGGTTTCTCAACAAACGTTGGGGCGCTGAATCCTGTAATTTGGAAACAAGGAAAGTAAAATTCGGTTTTCAAGTCCATTGAGGAAAGCTAACATATAAATTTCCCATTAATTACTTTTCATTTTACTCACAGTGCTTTCCAGACCTGGATGAGTTTTTTGCGAAATAATATGGAACAAATTTGAAATATTAGATGCAGTTTAAGAAAGTTGACCCTAGACGTTTTTGCTTAACGATGCTCAACTTATTATTGAAGGCAAATGATTTCTTACCTTCCCAAAAGTTTTGACATAAAACACTAAATATACGACAAAAATAAACCTGTAAGTTTAAGGTTAAAATTGGCGTTCCCTTTTCCATGTGGATTTACAATAGCACATCGATAAGCTCCAGCATCACTGTCAGCAAGATCCTGAAAAAAGCAACTAAGAGACATTCACAGGTTGACCATAATAATTATATTTACAATAAAATAGCACTGCTTTAAAAGCAAATAATGTCATCAGTCAGAGCTACTTCTAACATTCCTGTTTTCATATATTGTTTGAAATGTTACTTTGATTTGTAAAATGGCGGAGTAAGCATCGTTTCCTTTGTTATCCAGTCGGAAACTGAACCGCTGGTCTTGTTTTAGTTCAGTCTAGAAAATATGCAATCACTCATTCAACCTTTACAAATGTTACATGTGAACTAAATAAAAATTTAGTGTAGAACAGCTTCCTTCCTATTCAATTTTGATTATGAATCAAATGAAAAAAATCTTAAGAAAAGCATACTGTGTCGTAGAACCACTTAATATCCGGAACTGGTTGAGCTTCTAAAAAACACTCCAGTTCCAATGATCCATCATCGTTTTGTCGAGCTACCGGCTGCTGCGGGAAATGAGGTGCCTTACCCTCCGGCATCTTTCTAATAGTTAGCTTTATTACTTACCACCCGCAGAAAGCCTATTAACAAATATTAAATACTGATCCAAAAGAAAATTTGGACAAACGAATCCGCTGTAAAAGTTAAATCTTATGAAAAAGGCTTACAAAATGACATAACGACTGCAATCGGAATTCCTGTTGGGTACTTCACATGATACGAATTAATAATAACAGTAAAGAAAAAAAATATGAAAGCAATAATGGTATTAATGTTACATTTTAAGTTGATAAAATACGCGTTTTGAAAGGAAGCTGTTACTTAAGCAACATGTACCGGAGACATACCAAATTAAGCGTTAAAGTTCAGAATGTATTTCAACTTTATTTCGAAGCCCAATGTTCTAAGTATAATTTAAATTATTCAATCGATTTTGAAAATATTTTGATCATTAATCATTAATTACTTCATAGTTTCTTACTACTAGTACTTTTAATCATAATCATAATAATTTGAATTCGATAATAATTTTGGAATGTTTGATAAAATACAACATTAAGTTAATACAATTTATGCAATGATCTAAAATTGATA